GGGGGGGGGGGGGGGGGGGGGGGCATCGGTCGGCATTTGCCTCTGTTTGTATGGGTCGCTGTGTATCCTCCATGTATGTATGTGTGTGTGTGTATATATCCTCCATGTACGTACGTCTGTGTCGGTGTGGTGTGTAAGACGCGAGAGTGATTTGTACGGAATGGGTGCATGTGTGTGTGCGCTCCCCCGATGACGACTGCCTGGCGTGGGGTTCGGCTGACTGACATGATTCACTCATTGATGCATTTGGACCACTCATGGTACTCAATTCAGTGAGTGAAAGCAATGGCCTGTTTGCAATCACAAGAGGCAACGACTGATAGCAACGTTCTGCGTCAACATCGACCAACCCTCAAGCTGACCAAGCGTAGATTGGTGGCTAGCTGTACATGCGCTGTGTATCACGTCACCAACTTGTATACTGGCCATGTATGGCACAGTCTCAGTCCTGGCCCGTAGGTACACACTCCGGATACATCTCATCGGTCCAGATCTCGATGTCGAGGTATTTGGCGATCTCCATGAGGGCACACCTGAAGGGGTGACCATCCGAGAACCCCACCCATATCGGCTCGCTACAGCCCAATCCGTCATGATCTGCACACACACAAGGCACACACACATGCCGACACACAGACAGACAGACAGACAGACAGACAGAGGTCCTCGAGGAGTGACAGACGCTGGCCACAATGTGAGATCATTTTAAGTGGTCGCGCTCACTCTTCTTGACGTCTGCCTGCAAATCGATGTAGAACTGGCTGAATGTGCGACCATCCGTGCAGTGGCGCTTGTGGATTTGATCGAGCAGTCGGGCTTTGTCCTCAACCGGGCGAAAACCGCGTCTGGCACGGATCTCGCCAAGCAGCTCAATCTTCTTCTCCCTTGTCCAGCCCTTATATGGGCGCATCTCGTCGACACTATAGCCTGACACACACACACACACACACACAGCCAGACAGCCAGACAGCCAGACAGGTGACGCGTGATATGGCCCTTCCTTCCATTGGCTGACTGACCACAGTTCCAGAGTGCCATGTTTATGAACACTGTGAAGACGCTGTCGAAGTTGAAGCGCCCACGGTCCCGCAGATTCCCCCAATACTCGGCTTCCAGCTGTCTGTCCTTCTCGAGCACGTACTCATCGGCCAAGCGCGAGTTGTCGGGAAACCGGAACGGGAGCAGCTTCCGACAAGGTGCGGCATCCTGGACAAGATCCCGATTCGCTGCGCGCCGTGCCACGGCCGCGTGTGCGAGGTAGCTGCATGCGGCTGGAGGACGAAGCAGGCCAACGCACGGGTCAGCAAAGCGATGCAGACGGGGAACAGCATGGCGGGAGCTCAACGAGGGGGAGGACCGCAGTCGGTTTATTGCGTCGACGGCTCCGCGTCCTGTGTGGAGTGGCGTTGGTGGACTGCCCGTGCATCGTTTTCCTGCTGTGGACGTCCACTCCCCAGCAGATAGATCTGGTCACACGTACACATACGCGTCGCCGATTTTCTGTCAACCCCAAACCCTACTAGTAAACCCTTGACGCAACCTGCTTGGTAGCCACACGAAATTTCGTGGTTTACGATGACTCGGCCATCATTGTTACAACATGCATGTCTCTCTCACAACGTCTGGTCAACCAATTGCTGTCAACTACATCTGTCTGCGCACCAAATACTATGTCATGCGATGCGATGCCCGCCCCGTCCGTAGTAAACGTCCGTCCGTCCGTCCGTCCGTCTGTTTGTGTGTCAGTCAGTCATCTGCCAATGCGATCCATGTCCACCACCTGCTTGTCCGACTGAAGCAGCTCCCAGATCGGAAAAGTCTCACCTGGATTGCAGGACCGATAGGGGGGAGAGAGACAACACAGACATCCACACAATTGCTTAAGCAAATGAGTTCAGCCGATACGTCCACGCACACATGCAGGGATGCACCTGTATCTCTGTTCCGCACGACGAAGCAGTCCATGGGCACATCATCCGAGACGCCCGGCATGCTGGGGCTGAGCATGGTGCTGCCGTCGTCGCTCTCAGATGTCGGCAGCTTAGGGCTCCCCAACGCAGAGGGCGACAGTGTCTTGGCCGCGTTGACGGGCAGCGGGGGCAGCTGACGCGATGACACAGATGACGCCAGCAGATAGGGCGCTGGCGGAGACGACACCACAGGCCGATCTGCAGACGCTGAATGAACCACGCGCGCACACATACTCAGACAGAGAGAGAGAGAGATTAAGATGATTTATTGTGGCACTGTTTAAGCCTGTCTGTCCCTTGGCTCACCGCTGTTTGCGTCAGTGGTCTTGCCGATGACGGCTCCAGTATTGCGATGGACCATAACCCGCCGCCTCTCCCGGTCTCTAACCACTTCCCTCTTGTCGGCATCGTCATGGGTACGGAGGGCCGGGCTCGGGGGTGGAGGGAAGGTCGGCGGCTGCTGCAAATAGTCCATCAGCAGCTGCGGGGCACCACCGTCCGCATCACCGCCTCTCTCCTGCTGTCGCTCCGCCACATTGGGGAAGCTGTGGACATGGTTGTTGGGCGGGTTGGCTGGCCGGGACGGAGCTGAACCAAATAGCCAATATGACAGCCCCTGCCGATAGACACCCTTGTTGGCGGCAGGTTTGTCAGTGAGGCTGGTCCTAAATGGTGCAGGGGCCGATGGTGGCCACTGCTGCTCCCCACTGCTCGACCGCCGCACACTCGGCTTGCTCGACAAAGGCGGGGGGAACGCAATCTTTTCAGGCGAGGGAGCAGAGTCGTCAGCCGCTGGGTAGCCGTTGGCTGTCGGTGTGAACCTCCGTGTGGTCTTGTGCTTGTGCGTGTGGCGGTCGAATGAGGCGATGGGCAGCGACGGGGAACGCCATGGGAGGGCCGGCATGGAGGGATCGGCCCGCTGGAATGGTTGGAACGTGTCCTCGCTCTCCCTGTCCTTGTCACTCTCGTCATCCTGAATGGCAAGGGGGCACGCCACCTCGGTGCTCTCCGCCGGGCCGTCTGTCATCCTCTCATCAGCGGCACTCTGCGACGCGTCAGCAGCTGCCGCCTCGGCAGGTGGCCCGACGGCACTGTTGGTCTCGTCGCATGACGGGGACGCGTTGGCCAGTGACGATGTGCTCTTCCCTGCTGTGGCTGAAGACTTGCCCCTTGCCCACGGGAAGAACAGGAAAACCCCCTTGTCCGCATCATTGCCGCTGCCCCGCATGGTGGCGTCGTCCTCTGTCTGCCTCGCGGCTCCCCCGGGGCTCGAGTCGGTCTCCGATATGACCGATGTGAGTGTGTCGTCGTCGATGGATGGGGCATAGAGGAGTGGCGAGGAGCCCTCAGTGGACGTCCGCTGTCTCACATTCGGCACCGACTGGGAGCAGGGTACCGCTGACGGTGGCGGTGACGAGTCTTCGTCGGGGGACTCGTGGTCGGCCCGCTTGGTGTTGATAGGGGCGGTGGATGAGTGCAGGAGAGAGGAGGGCGGCCGGGCCTTCCTGCGCCGACCACCCTTGGCGGTGCGGTGACGTGGGGCCTCACTCGACGCGTTCATGTCACTGCACACAACCCAACAACACACAGCAGTGAGTGAGGTGAGTCAGCCGCCGTAGCAGACAGATGCCCTGAGCTCTCTCTTGCGTGCGTTGCGTACGTGGGTATGAGGTGCCTGAGGGAGTTGTGCCTCTCCCCCTGGTGCGTCTCGCCGCCCTCCCCCGCCGCACCAGTCGACTCCCCGCCACCGTCGTCGATCAGAGTCCACACCACCTTGCCCCCAGTCATCGTGTCTGATCGATCCATACATACACACAGCAGCCAGCCGTGTGCAGTGCATCTCTTCTCCCTCTGGTTGTTGCGATCGTGTCGTGCATTCACGACTTAATAACTTACCTCTCCCGAACAGAGGCCAGTGGTGTGGGTGGACCTCTAGAGTGGCGAGCAGCCTCCTCGTCACCTTGAAAGATCGGGCGGCCTCGAACAGCGAACACTTGTTGAGCGAGAGACGCTTCGGAAAGGCTGCATTGAAAACGGGATACATACCCGATTCGATGTCCGTGCCCTGCCTGCCTGCCTGCCTGCCTGTGTGCTCTCAGTGCATGTGGGCAGCTTAGCTCCTTACTTTTGAGTCCCTTGAGTAGTTCGTCGAATGGCAGGTGGAGCAGCTCTGCCTTGGCGAGCGCCAGAAGGGCCAACCCAACCCTGAAGATCCACTTCCACCCGTACAGAAAGAACCCATCCTGCATGCAGTGGGTGGGTGCACCACAGAGAACACACAAATCCAATGTGTGTATGAAAACGACAGGCACTAGCTATTCTATTTCTCGCCCGTCCGTCGTTCTGTTCACCCAGTTGTTCACCCAGTTACCCAGATGAGGTGCACGATGGCTGCTGGCAGGTCGCCATAGGCGAACAGTGCCATGAACCAGACAGTAGCGTAGTAGTTGGCGCTGATGTGGTACTGGAGGAAGCAGTGGTGGACGTCCGTCAGGTGACCCTTGACCAGACGATCAAACTGAGACACCGCAACCTATACACAACACACACGGCAAGGCAACACGAGAGGAGACAATAGATACCGTCCACGACGCCTTGTCGGTCTGTCGGTGTGTGTATCTGTGTGAATCGGATCGTCGTGTCGATGGCCTTACCTGGAGTTGGGGGAATCTTGGTTTGAAGAATTCCTTCATCTCCAGCTTGATCATCAAGGCCATGAAACACTGAAACGCACACTGACGTACAAACACACAAACAGACACACAGACAGACAGACAGACAGACAGACAGGCAGCAGCACGCCGATATGTCCAGGGCCCATAGCAGAGCCGCTGTGTGGGTATCGTATCGGGGGGCCTTACGTGTTCCTTGAGGTCGTATACGAGCAGCAGGTGTCCCGCGACGAAGTTCATGCCCTGGCAGTAGCCGATCTCCTCTCCCAGTGCCGTGCAGCCGGCACGCAGCAAACGAAACAATGCCTGCTGACTGCAGACAGACAGACAACAGACAGACACAGACGAATGAATGTCGTGTGACCCTGTGTGCCGTGGCATGTGTGTGTGTGATTAGCCTGCCTACCCGGCTCCCTGTTTCTCCTTGAAGACATCCACGTCGGGAAAGGTGCGACCTGCGCAGGTCAGGTGACACATGCACATAGGGACATCAAGAGACCAGACCGCAGTCCTGCACTCACCGACATCCCTTTTGATATCCGCATCATTCGCGGACGGTGTCGATGACAACACCTGCATACAATGCAATGCACACACCACGTACACCACACGCACGCCCACCCGCATCCCTGCCGGTCGTCCCTAGAAATCAATCTCTGTCTGCCTGACCTCATAGTCAAATGCCTCGTAGGTGGTGTCGCCCAGTAGCAGCACCTTCCACAGGTACGGCCGCAGCGCGTCGGGGAATCCCTGCGGGAAGAAGTGTCGCAGCACCCGATGCGAGTGCACCTCGGACCACCACAGCTTGCACGTGAACCCGCAGCTCCACGCCTCTGCAGCAGTCAGGTAAAACGCCACGGGTGTTCCCTCGAACACGCGAACAGCAAGACTGACACAACACACAACACAACCACACGAGGGGACAACAGCAGCAGCGCAATGCACACAATGAGTCGGTGGATCTGTGTCTTTGCAGCTGGCGTACGAGATGGTGGCATTGTGCAGCTTCATCCACAGGAGACCGTCGCCCGAGTAAGGCGGGTATCTGAATCTCTTCGATGGCTCGGCTCCATCCGAGCGGGGCGTGGGCGAATAGCTGCCGCCCGGCGCCCTCACAGCGCGACGAGTCGGAGATGTGAACGGTCCGCGATCACTTTGGTCATCATTTCGCTCGGGATCAGCCATACAAAGCCTCCGCCTAACGCAGACGCGCCACTGACGCTGCTTTTCCCATCCCCATCTTTTGCGCGCTTTCCACTGCGAGCTCAAATGCGAAGGCAGAGGAGGAGAGCGCCGCATCTTCCGCTTACCGCTCGTTGCCTTGTTCGTTCTGTTTTGTGTGGCTGACCATCGCATCTCATCTTCCCCTCTGCTCGCCGGTGTGTTTGCCGTCTGTCTGTCGCGCTTTGCCTTGTGCGTGGTATAGCTAGTGCTGCTTCGCCACCATGGGAGAACGCAAAGTGCTCAACAAGGTGAGTCAAATACGTCCACGAAAACAACCATCTTGCCTGTGTTGTCTCACTCATGTGTCTTGTCTTGTGTTGTGTTGTGTTGTGTTGTTGTGTTTGTGTATGGTCTGTCTGTCTGTCAGTACTACCCGCCCGACTTCGACCCGGTGAAGCTGCGCACTCTGCGTGACCCGTCCAAGGTCCGGGAGAAGCGCAAGGGTCCGCGGCTGTTCAACGTGCGCATGATGTTCCCCTTCACGTTCTGCTGCAACACATGCGGCGACTACGTCTACATCGGCACCAAGTTCAACAGCCGAGTCGAGAAGGTGCAGGGCGAGGACTACCTGGGCATCGCCGTCTGGCGCTTCTACGGCCGCTGTCCCAACTGCCGGGCTGAGGTGGCCTTCAAGACCGACCCGCAGCACGCAGACTACATTCTCGAGACAGGCGGCAAGCGCAACTACCAGGCCTACCTCGACGCCGACATCCTTGAGAGCCAGATGAAGGAGAAGCACATGGCTGAGCTCGAGGGCGACAGCATGAAGGCCCTCGAGCACAAGCAGTTCAACACGCAGCAGGAGATCCAGACCTTCGAGGACCTTGACGAGGTCCGGAAGATGAACAAGCGGCTCATGAGTCGAGATGACACCATCTCGGAGGCACTACAATTCCTCGAGGAGCGCTCCACCGCCACAGTAGAGGCCGACTGGACCGCTGATGAGGAGGCCGAGCTGGAGGCCGTCAGGCCTTTGCTCGGCGTCAAGAGGCTCGCCAAAGAGGAGGAAGATGACGACGACCACGAGGCAGCGGCAGCGCCCCGCCCTCAGCCCGCCCCAAGCTCCTCGTCGGCTGCTGCTGCCGGGCCCGCCAAGCTCAATGACAGCAACGATAACAACGGGGCCGCAGGGGCGTCATTCGCAGCTGACAACGGGCCGTCAATCTTCTCACGGATATCGGTGGTCAAGCGGAAAGCAGCCGATAGCAACAGCGGTGGTGCGGCTGAGGGCGATGAGGGTGTCAAGCGGCAGAAGGCGGCAGATGCCGTGGTGAGCCAGGGCGGCGGAGGTGATGTGTGCAGCAGTGGGGGAAAGGGTGGCAAGGGGCTGAGCGAGCTGCTGGGAGGGTACTCTGATGAGGATGACTGAATGAATGAATGAATGACCAGATGGGGGCTGGTATTGAGTTCTCCACGTGGATGTCTGCGGGCCGGGACACGCACGTGTTTTTATCAGACCTTGCGCTTTGCGTGTGTGCGTGCACCATGAGACACCCTGATTGCGTTCAATCAATCATGCGAACACTGTGCGCTGGCGGTGAGGGTGGTAGGGAGGGGGGGAAGCTGTAGGCAATCAACATGTACACGAAATGTCCATCCATCCATTCATTCATTCATTCACGCATCAATCGGTGTGACAGGCCATCCATCCACCCACCCATCCATCCATCGTACGCCCATCCATGGATTGACCTCGTCTCACCCACTAGCAACTCAATTCATCTATGTATGCACGCTCCCCAAGGGGCCTGTCGGGACTCTTACCTGTGTCTGTTGGTCACGATAGTACCCATCCGTCGGCCATACAATGGAAAGTCATGCAACGTACAGGCAGGCAGGCAGGCAGGCAGGCAAGGAGGGAGGGGGGCGGGCGGTGGAGGGAGGGAGGAAGGGAGCATTGATAGAAAGGACAGAAAGAGAGAGGGGCGAAGAGGGCTTTGCCTCCTCACTTGCACACACCAGACAGACAGACAGACAGGAAGGTCCACGCAAGCGATAGATTGAGGGCCGCCAGCAGGCAGAGAGAAAGGCAAAAGCAGCCAGCCAACCGACCCCATCATGCATGTGTCTGCCTGTCTCGTCTCACTGCCCCCGCCTGCTGCCGAAGAACCTGTCGACCTCTGAGAGGAGCTTGTTGGGGGGGAAGGTGTCCCCGTCAAATTTGGGTGTCTTGTCGGCGTATGTGATTTCGGTCTTGGATGAGTTCGTGTCGATGGGGTTGGGCTTGCCGCATGAGTTGGTGTCACCGTCAGAGTCGATACCCTGCACACACAACACAACAAGATAGACAGACACACGTGTGTCCGTATACAGCTGCTCCGGTCCTTGGATATATGTGCCGGTGTAGGTACCTGTCCGAAGTAGCCGGGCAGGCAGGTGCAGAAGTACTGCTGCAGGAGCGAGTTGCGCATACACACACTGTTACGGTTGCAGTTGCGGCACGTGTCGGACCGAAGACACGCCTGCTTGCTGTTGGCAAACGCGGCGTCAAAGTCCACGTCGCACTCGCACACACCCGCGATGCAAAAGGCGTTGATCGGGCAGTCGTAGTCCTTCGTAGGCGGGCACGGCGGACCTGCACATCACATTCATGGCATAGACACACCACACCATCGTGTCTGCTTCTGCTCCTCCTGTTGTCGACAGACTGTACTAACTGACCTGATGACTTTTGGAAGTACAGCGTCTCGCCCTCTGGCGGCCGCTGGAAAAGCAGGTTCCTCGGGAGTGCGGGCGACTCGAGCACGGCGTCGATGATGTAAACCACGCCATTCGCGGCCTCCCCAATAGCAATCACGCGGGCGGGGCGGCCGATGACGGTCGGCTCCACACTCAGACCCGTTCCTTCCATGCCGCCGGGGCCATAGCCGTCCTTGACAATCACAATTTGCTCGTTCTTTCGGCCGGGCCCGCCATTCGTCAAGGAGAGCGCCGTGCCGCCTTCTTGCTGCGCAACGCTCCCAGACTCCTCCTCCGGCAGAATGGGGATGTCCACTCGCCTCCAGCCATAATGATGCTCCTTTTCGCCCTCTTGCAGCCGTCTTCTCTGCTCGATCCTTGTGACGGCGATCTCTGCGCACTTGTCGCCGCCGCCCAGTATGTCAGGGAGGGTCCGACAGTCCTCTGACGGGATGAGCGATGTGCCGGGCTTGAATAATTCCGGGCAAATCTTGCCCTCCACAAAGTGGTACAGGCAGAACTGCAACCAAAGCCCAGACCAACACACATGTGTCGTGTGTGAGCCCCTCCCTTGTCTGTCTGGCCAGTTTGGTCATCCACTCACCTGTTCGACGGAGCCTGATGTTGGCGCGTTGACGACGATTTGGTCGAGTGCTGCGTCGGTGAAGGCGAAGATGGTGTTAACCACCTCTGGGTCGCTGAGATTCTTGCTGATGCCCTCCGAGCACACGTCCACAAACCCAGATATGTTGAAAGCTAGGCCACCAACCTCGATTTCCTGAACCAAACAAAGGCCACACAGACCGGCGTCAAACGCTCTTCTGTTCCGACCCAGTCACCCACCGTCTGATCCAGCAGATCTGAGAGGGTCTCAACTTCCTCAAAATTCCTTAGTGTTCCTCCCTCTGCGCAAGTTGGCGTCTGTGCTGTCGCTCCCAGCAGGAGGCAGCTGACGACGACTGCCCCTAGCAGGAGAGATCCTCTTGGACCCATTCTGTCTGTCTGTCTGTCCGTCGAGGATGAGGGACGGGTGGCGGGCGGAGAGGGTCCTTTTGCCGCTCCCCGGCACCTTGCTCTGATGCTCACAGCCTCCGGGCAGCGTACGGCAACTTGGATCACCCCAAACTCTACAGTGTACAGGTGTAAATTTGCAATACGCTTGAACCCAGGTGTCAAGGCCAGCAAGGCGCACGCACAGATGATCCACAGCATCGGGGTGCTCACCAAGGAATGTACAAATACGTTTGTGTTGTTCGTGATGCGCGTCTGTGTGTGTGTGTGTGTCTTTCCAGAGCCGGACGCTTCTTGGGGGCGTTGCAAGAGAGATCCCGACCAATGTAGTGGCAGGAGGGACAGTTCGAAGTGAGTGAGTACGGCAATGCCGTGTGACCAAGCTGCAGCCAGCCACACAGTCGTGTACGTCTGCCTGCTTGTGTTGGCTGCAGGTGCTGCCTGAGCATGAGGATATGACTCTGAAGTATGTTGGCGACGTCGGTAAGGGGGAGTAAGCCAGTCAGTAGGCGGGGCGAGCACACTACAAGGCGGAGGGTTTTTGATTGGAAAATGCGTCTGTCTGTGTGTTGGTCTGTGTATGTTGGTGCAGTGCTAGTGCTGTTGTGATCCTTCGGCTATACGTGAGGGGGGCCTTTGTTCCCCGCTCGGGAATGTGCTGACATTGTTCATGAGTCCAGCTGTGGAGGCGCGATTTGGTGCACATACAGAGCGACCGACCCTCATCCGGATACGTACGTGTATGTGTTTGTTGGGGGGGAAACTGTCATTAACCGTAACACTCGTCTGTGTGTCCGTGATACTCATACAAATACAGTCCCATCAGCACGCAGACTCAAACAGGCTCAAGGGGAGGAGGGATCAATCCCCGCCCCATCAGCACACCCCAGTCCCGCAAACCCTCCCCTCCCTCCCCCACGCAGACAGAAGCTAGTCGCACGCGCGAGGGCGATAGACAAGCGAGAGCGAATCCATCCAGACACATGACTGGACCCCCGACCCTTCGTG